TGAGATATGGAAGGCGCTTTAGATTTAATGTTTTAATCCTTGAGAGTGTCTCAATTTCAATGTGTTTCTCTTGTTCTTCAACTTCTCCTTTTGAAGGGAACAGTTCTTTGAAATTACAATGCTCCACGACAAGCTCTTCTAGATGGCAAAATCTTTGAAGTAATCTGAGGGGTACAACATCTGATTCATTATCAAGATAACCGTGAATTTTAAGAACTTTGACATTGAAAAAGAGGTCTCCTTTAAATTGGTGTTCACATATCACTGCAATGTCATGTCTTGATAGTGACAATTTTTCCAATTGAGGGATAACCTGGAAAGGAATCCAATGCAATAAAATTTTTGTGTAAGTTGTATATTTTTTCTTAATGAGATCTTAATTTTGTTTATCAAAAGGAGAAAATTATTAAAAAATATTGTGCATTATTTCACATGGCAACCAAATGCACTTTTATTACTTATTGAATACAAACAAATAAAATTAGTGTGCAAGTTGTATATTTTTTTTTAATGAGATCTTAATTTTGTTTACGAAAAGGAGAAAACTATTAAAAAATATTGTACATTATTTCACATGGCAACCAAATGCACTTTTATTACTTATTGAATAAAAACAACTCTTCTTTATTGATTAAAAAAAAAAAAGAATAAAAACTGCTCTACATTGCTTTTTTGGGTGGCCAGCATTAGTTGTATCTCATATTCACATAACAAATACTCTAAAATCTAATAACAGAGAGATCCCCAAACAATAACGGTAAAATTAGAGAAATAATTGGAATTATCACATGCATTTGTCACACAAATAATATTTCATCAAGAAAAGCATTCAGGTATTACTAAACAAGTAATGAATACTACAATTCAATATTATTTCCATGTATAGTAGATTATTAAAAATTACTCTGATTCCATTATATATATTTATATATATATTTGAAGCAAGAAATTCTTTTATTATTTATTTTGGTAAGAAGCTTTGTACCTTCTCTATGGAGAAAAGTGGTAGTCGTACAGGGAAATCAAGTTGCCAACTGCCATCTGTTCTCTTTACTTGATTGAAAAGGGAAAAGTGGAACTTTTTTAATTTTGGCCACGCTGCCGTGTGCTTCCCTGGATGGAAACATTGGAGTCTTGGTAGCCGCTCAAGCTGAAGACTTGACACTCGAGGAAATTCAAAGTCAACAATTGCTTCTTTTCCTTGTTCTCCCATTGTAACAATTTCCTCCACCCCACAATTAGATAAATGTAGCTTTTGAAGTTGCGAAAGGCTTTTGCCTATTGAAGCTGGAAACAAAATTTTGAGTCCCTCACAAGATCTTATAGCTACTGATTCCAGGCTGTGGAAAGTGAGTATCCCTTGGGGATCCTTATTCCACACATACTTCAATCTTGGTAGACCATAAATATTCAATTCTCTCAACTTGGTGTCTATTCTAGCATGTGTTTGATTGACATTGAACTCTGCAATTCCAAATACCACTTCTAGCGAGCCACAATGATATATAGTTAACATCTCTAGGGATTTCCATATTCTTCCCAGCATATCAGCAGACGGAAAAACAGTGGATAACTTCTCACAATTACTAACTGATAATGATTTTAGTTTGCCGAAGGAATCTGCATGGAATTGGTTGTGCCATATGATATCCAAGTTTTTCAAGTGGTTGAGAGTCAGACTTTCCAAGTTGGGAAAAGCAACCTACATAATGGATGCATCATTCCACATTTAGATTAGTTCCTTAAATTAATGCGAAAATGTAAGTGAAATGAGTAAAATTTACCTGTTCATCGAAGAATGGTTGTTTGTCAGCAGTGACATTTGTGCTTGCAAAATATTTAACAATGAATCCTTCCAACTCTGGGCAGTTAAATACATGCAGTTGCTTTAAGAATGGGAATTCAACAATACAATTTCCTGAGTAGAATCCAACAATGTTTTGAAGGTCTTTTAGCAATAGGAAGTTCAATTGGGGAAAAATTAAATTCTCTTTTTCTTCTGCATTCTCTGTGACAATAATCTCTTTCATCCTCTTGCATTCCCTTATTTCAACTTGACCGAGCATCACTAGACCTCTAGCTATAGAAGATGAGAATAAGTACTCCAAATTATCACAGTCTTGAATGATCAATTTCTTCAATTTCCCCACACATAAATATGTTATTGAAGTGTGCCATTTGATGTTAACATTCATCCAACGCAATTGCAGCTCCTCTAGGTTGGGTAACACAACCTGCACGACATAGAATTCATTTTGTAGAAAAAGCTTATCATTTTGTTGATGGATGAGAAAAAGGATGGTCAATCATGTTAAAAATGGTAGGAGTTGGAGGAGTTGATCAATGTATTCCGCAACAGTAGTTGGAACTATTATTGGTAGGGCCTTAGCTCCATATATTTCCACGGAGTATAATCCAATTATATGATCAGTCAATTTTGGGGTGGTAGACAGATCTAAGAGGGAAGTTTGGTCTTTACTGTTCTGTTATAACTTGGATTGTGTGGATATGCAAGAATGAAAGGTTATTCAAAGGGAAGGACAAGTTTGTCAATATGGCTCTCAAATTAACTGGAAGGAGATCATTTATGTGAACAGAAGGCAAGGTGGGTGGTTGTTTATCCAGATCGGTGTCTAAATTTTGCTCTTTGTGCTTTGGGATTGACCAGCAGAGGAGGTTAGAAGATGAACAAAAGCAGAACTTTCATTAGAAGGCCAATGCAACTTTACTTAAAAACAACATTAACAACTCCAAATTAAAAGACCTCATCAGAAAAAGATCATTCTTTTTGTGAAGAATTTCTTCTTAATCCAAAGAAACAATGTAACGACAATCCCAAAGCAAAAACATGAGAAATGACACAGAGACATTTAGAATGAAGGATGGCAATAGACTTTGTTCCGGATAGTTAAACACTGTCCAATTAACTAATTTTCTTAAATTGAGTAATTTTACTTTTACTTTCAAGTGATGAATTTTTAGGCACAATAAGTAAAGAGATTTACCTGTTCTACATCATAGTTAATAATTAATAATTTTTGTATTTAATTAATGTACTAGTAATAATATGTGATTCAGATTGGTTATTACTCCTAATTAATAGAATACAGTTCAAACAATCCTATTGTGTATATACAATTTATTTTATATAATTAAGAAAACTAAATATAAACCATTTCAATTGATTAAGGAAAATTAATTATGATATCATTTATGAAGAATAAGAAAACTATATTTACACATGAATTAAGTAGTCTAACATAAGTGAAAAATTTTTAAACACAATTTGGATGATGGAGATGTTTAATTTCTTCGAATATTAAGGGAAAAATTATATAAGTTATGAAGTATCTAATTCATTTTATAATAACAATTTTTGAGAGCCTTCTATTATTGGTTGTTACTGTGAATTTGCTGCAATTATGGTTCTTTTAGGCACAATTATTTAACGTAATTGATATATCTATAGAGGTAATTAGGTGGAGATAATAGCAGCATCAATACTAAAGAAACAATTAATCTGTAAAAGTACTCGTGTAAAAGGAAGTAAAATAAATAATTTTTAGGAAATAACTAACCTTCTCACTGAAGAAAGGTTGAGTAGGGAGTTCAGGCCTTTGTTCATTTCCTTTGTCATTGGCAGTCATCTCTTTCCCTTGCTCTCTTGAAAATGAAGAAGCAAAAGTCAACAGATTTGGGCAGTTAGCTACAGTAATTTGTTTCAAACTTGAAAATCTGAGCCTACTGCTTCCCTCATAGAAAGACGTCAAGACGGAACAAGACCCTAAAAGAATAGAGTTTAGGAGAGGAAACGTCTCCTCAGCTCCTTCTCCCGTTATCACTTGCTCCATCATGGCACAGTTTGTGACTTTCAGATCATGCAATTGTACAAGGCCCAATGCCATGGAAGGGGTTAGAAGGTATGTCAAATTGCTACAATTATCAACTTCTAGAAATTTAAGCATTCTGAAAGGCAAGTTTTCCTGAGGCTTCTTGTACCAAATTTCAATCAACTCAGGAAATTCGGAAAATTTCAAGTCTTCCAACCCATGATATCCAGCCTACAAGATGCAATAGATTAATAGCTTGTTAAATGACAAGAAACAAATGATAGCAATTATATTAATAACAACAGTAAGAGAAAAAAAAATGGAAAAATAACTTTGTGCTTTGATAAAAATTAGATTGGACAAAGACGAAGGCCAAACAAAGATTTGGACAAAGACAAAAAGTTTTTTAATATAGACAGTTATTAGATAAATAAATTGATTTTTCATTAAAAAAAGAAAAATGAAATTTGCAAATTACAGTTTGTGCCTAATAGTAATTTACAGCATTTGCTCAGAATTTTCTTTAAAATTATTTTACGATCCTACAAAAAATAACCGATTTCAAAAATTTAATTGAGAATATAAGTTATTGAATAGTTTCTTTTTTATTTTCTCTCTGATCCAAAGAAATCAGTCTCTTCCTCCCACAAAACCTTGGTTATTTGCTATGAATAGGTTTCTAGTTCATGGTTCTTTAATATATATCAAGCTCCAAACACGAGAAGTATAGATCCTTAAAAATTATTTTACAATCCTACAACAAATAACCTATTTCAAAAATTTAATTGAGAATTTAAGTTTTTGAATAGTTTCTTTTTTATTTTCTCTCTTATCCAAAGAAATCAGTCTCTTCCCCTCCCACAAAACCTTGGTTATTTGCTATGAATAGGTTTCTAGTTCATGGTTCTTTACTATATATCAAGCTCCAAACACGAGTACCATAGATCCTTAAAAATTATGTTACGATCCCAGGACAAATAATTTATTCCTTTAAATGGCTATGCATACAAGTGTTATTCAATTAAATAGAAATTTCAAATGTCAGTAAAAGGGTCGGACATGGATATGTGGCAGGGTAAAGCGAAGAACCCGTGTAACAAATTTAACTAACAAGGTGTTACAATTTGTTTTCTTTCAGTTTATTCTTTTGCACAAAACTTGATTTGGTAGCAGCCTTTATCATTGGTGCTACTTCATATACTTATCGTTGGCAAAATTTACATTTTACCAAACAAAGGGTTCAAAGTAGTACATAAATTTACATTTTACCAAACAAAGGGCTATGAGTAATACATAAAACTTGGAAATTAAGGTAGAAAACGTAAGGAAATATTTTGAATTAATGCATACCTTTTCTGCGAACATCTTTTTTATGGTGGAGTTAAGGTTGCCTTCCCAGAACCCTTCATCTTCATCCACAGTCAATTTCACTTTTTGCAGTTTATTAGTGGTACTGCATTCCCCTTGAGAGAAGATCCGCATATTTGGGCAACCCATCACAATTACTTCTTCCAA